TGAACCTGTGCAGGAGACAGGAGAGAGGACCCGAGAAGCTAAGGGCTGATGTGAAAAACACTTTCGTATTTGGAGACATCAAATCACTGGGAACTGTAGTAAGGGCTGTTTGATAGTGGAAGGACTGAGGCAAGCCTAGTTTTAGAATGGGTTGAGGAATGAGTGGGAGGTGAAGAAATGAAGACAGCTTGGCTGAGATTTTGGCTGTGAAGGGAGAAGAGAGAGGATAGCTGGAGGCGGGTGTGAGATGGAGGAAGTTTTTTGTTGTTTTTTAATGAAGAGACTCAAGCGTTTGTAAATGCCAGTGGGAAGAATCCAGATTTGATGGTGGTGGGGTTGAGGGGTGGCTAGATGCTTGGATCTACCTGAGAGAAAAGGAATGTGAATAGGGTAAGTGTCAGAGAAGGGAGGAACTGGGCCCTCAGTCCGGAGGAGTCAGGATGGGCTGAAGGATGGGCTGGGCAGCTGCTCTGGACTGGCGGACTGGCTGTGGGGGAGCTCTTATGAGCTAAAGGGTGAGGCGCCCACTGCTTCTTTACCTTTGGGCTGCCCCTAATGGCCATGTTCCCATAATGAGTGTGGGAGCTCCTGTCTTCTGGAGGGTGCCCCCTGCGTAGAGCAGGAAGGCATGAGGGCTGCCCAGGGGCTCAGGTAGCAGTGCTGAAGGACAATACCAGAAGTCACTTCTCGGCAGCAAGACCACATGCAAAGGGCAAACAGACATTTGCTCTGAGGGGAATCTCAGTTGTTTATTTTAGCTTCCCATTTTTTATGATGAAGAGGGAGGAGCAGAGTGCAGTGGGAACCTGAAATCCTGGGACGGGGATGGGTGAGGGTGACAAGAGTAAGAGAGGGTCCTTTCTTCCTGGACTTGGCCCCCTCTGAGGTAGAGGAGGGAGAATGTTCTTCGGTATGAAGAGAAAGGACTGGAGCAGGGCTTCCTGGCCAGTAGGCAGCCACTTGCTGAGAAGGAGGGGAATAGGGCAGCAGGAGGGGCTACAACTGTAGAGGTCCCTGGATAATGCTCTATTAATGCTCTATTTCAGTGTAAAGAAGTGGCCTTATTTGCTAGAGTGCCCAGGCACACACCTTTCTGGTGTCCCCTCCTTTGCGTGGGCTACAGGAATGGTGCTGAGGTGACCTTCTCTATTTGGAGTCCAGGTATATGTAATATGAGGCTCTCTGCCACTGCTGGGAACTAGGTCCTGGGACACTGGGAAGGGCTGGGAGGGACAGAAACTTTTTTTAAAAATCATTAACCTGGTTGATTGAAATCTGAACTGTGGAGCCTCCCAGCTCTATTGATTTTCTCTGAAAGCCCAGCAGCTGGAGCCGCGGCTGCCCAGAGACCAGGGAGAGGAAAGGGGAGAAATAGGGGAGAGGGGGTAGGGAAACAAATGGAAAGCCAGCCACGAGCACAGGGCTGGGAAGGAGGAAGGAGGAAAGGTTGGAGGGTCAGACGGTGCAGAGGGGCCTTTGGGGACCAGGAGGAGTCAGGAAGTATCAGTAGGCATCAGGGCGGGGAAGCCACAGAGGAACCGCTGAGAGCAGGGAGGAGTCAGGAGAGGATCTCGGAGAGGACAAAAATCAAAGCTCAGAGAAGCACAGTGACCTCTCAAGGTGACAGGGTCATTGGCTGCACCAAACCCAAACTCAGCAGACTTTACTGCACTGAGGAGAAAGGACACAGAAACGAAGGCCCAAAGGTCAGAAGAAAAGCTGAGAGAAAGGACATGGACAGTGGGTAAGGAGGGAGATTTGGTTTACAGGTCGCCATGTTTTGGGGACATGAGCCTGCCTTCTCTTTGCTCAGAAGAGTAAAGCAGACACAAAACAATGGCTCTAGTCTGACTGAGGGAGAACAGGCCATCAGGTGTTACCAAACCAGACCTGCAGTGCCTCTGCGTACTGTGCCGACCACCAAAGCAACAAGTTTTGTCAAAGAAAATTTATCTGTAAGGCAGTTAAAGTAAGGATGGGGGGGCTGGTGAGATGGCTCAGCGGACTAAGGCGCCTGCCTAGGATCTCCGGCGTGCCCTGCCCCTGGGTCACGCTGAGACAGTGACTGAGACTGGGCGTGGTGGTGCAAGCCTATAACCCCAGCATGTGGGAGGCTGAAAACAGGAGAATCACTATGAATCGGATCTATGTGGTGAGACCCTGTACTACATACAAAAAGAAAGAAAGAAAGAAAGAAAGAAAGAAAGAAAGAAAGAAAGAAAGAAAGAAAGAAAGAAAGAAAGAAAGAAAGAGGTGAGGATGGGGACCCCAGACCCAAATCTGCATCCCAGAGGACAAAGTTTAGAGATAATCAGAGGGTCAAAAAATAAGGTTGCTATCATTTGCATCTAGAATGTCCTGCAGAAGCCCGTATGTGTGCAGCTTGGCCCTTAGTTTAGTAGTTTGGGGAGCTGGTGGAGCCTTTAGGAGGCAGCCTCAGGGGAAGAACTTAGGTCACTGGTGAGGGCCTTGAGGAGGACATTGGTACCTGGGCCCTTTTTTCCTTGCTTCTGGCTGTCATGAAGTGAGACATCTCCTCAACTACGTGTCCCCAACATGCTGTCCTAGGCTGCTGGAGGCCTAGTGCAAGGTGGCCAGGCAGCCAGGGGCAGAACCTCTGAAACTGTGAGCCAAAATAAACCTTCCCAATTTTTCAGTTGGTTTTCTCAGGTATTTTCTTACAGCTGTGGAAAGCTAACACAGGGGTGGCTGAGGCACAGGAAAAGGTGACTGATTGGAAGGGGGGGAGAAGTCATCACTGGTCTCCATGTGCATAGGCAAGCTTCGTGGCTTTTTATGTGAGCCATGGCAGTGTTAGTACAATCCATGAGTAGAGTTTTTGGCTTTCTAATGTCAAAGGGTCACCTACTGGCCACTTGTGAAGGCCCAAACAAAAGAGTTGGTGGTTTCATCTACTTTGAGACATACAAGCCTAGCTCCAAGTCCCTAAGGGGGGAAAATAAAAGTAATCCCTACCAAGGGGTGACCATGTCAGAGGTGTTATCTATAGGAAAATTAGCAAGGACCTATTATTTATTGTTCAATTAATGACATCTACAGTCAGTGATAAAAGCAGCTAAAGGTGTGGTGACACATGCATGAGTCCCAGAACTCTGGGAAGCCGAGGCAAGAGGACTGCAAGTTGGAGCCCAGCCTGAGCAGCTTAGTGATGTCCCAAAACCTTGTCTCAAAAAACACAAAGGGGAGGAGGGTCTGGTGAGATGGCTCAGTGGTCTAAAGCACCTACTTAGAACAAGCTTAGCAAAGCACAGGGACCGCAGTTCAATCCCCAGCACCACATGCCAGCCAGCCCCGCCCCCTGGTGGGCTGAGCTGGACACACACACACACACACACACAAATAAAAACTTAAAAAAAAATACAAAGGGGTGGGCCTAGCTCTGCATGAGGGCTCTGAATTAAATTCCCAGTACCAAAAGATACAAACAATAAAACAGCAACTAAAAGCAAATAGGTTTATTCAGGTATTTCCCAGATTTGAAAGAAAATATTCTTTGTTTTTTTTAACTTTAGCTGGGAGGAAAATGGCTAGAGCCTTTTTTTCCCCTCCGTTTTAAAATTTTAGATATGTATAGTGGTAGCACTCATCACAGGGAATTTGTACATGATGGATCTTGCTTCTTTTTTCCCCATGCTCTTCCCTTCCCTTTGACCCCCCTTGAAGCTTCCTTCTTAAGGGAAATTCTGTATTTTGGGTTGCGGGTACTGGGGGTTTGTTTATTGTGGAAGGTTTTGGTTTGTTTTTTTGATGCTGAGGCTTTGAAGCCAGTGCTTCACACATGCTAGGCAAGGGCTCTACCACTGAGCTACGAGCCCCAAGGGGGATAAGTGAGTCATTTCTTCATGGAGGCTTGGATATAAAAGGAGGAAAGGGTACAATGAGATTCTAGGATGAGTTACACAGCAAGGAACAGAGAAAACATTTACTTAGCCAAAACAGGGCCCTGACAAGTGGGCTTCACCAGGCTGTCACAGGGCTCCTGGCTCCTCATTATTTCTGACAGGCACATAGGTCTGTGTAACTCTGAGGCAGAAGGAGAGCTACCTTCTGGTGGGCAGAGATACAAATACACATATGGGCACCAACATGCCACCCTGGGCTCCACAACTCCTCTCGCCAGTGCCAGTTCCTAGAATAACTCTTTTCTGAGCTAGAGCAGATAGTCCAGGCCTTCCTGTGGAAAACAGAAAAGGAGGGGAAGGGGCTGGCTCTGAAGACATAACTGGTTGGTTGCACGAATAGCAGAAGCCATTTGATGGTAGAGAGAGATAGAACCATGAACACACACACACACACACACACACACACACACACACACACACACACACAGATAGGCCTGACCTCATAAAGTGTTTGGATTTTCAGAACACAACAGACTCAGATTCTGAGGTGGCGTTGTTACTGAGCACTTAGGTTTGTATATTCAGGTTTATCCATTCACCACGGACCAAATCAAGGAAGACCGTATATTTTGGTAGAAAGCATTTATTCAAAACTAGCTCCCAGGAGATGGACAGGCCTCATTGCCTCAAATCACCATCTCGCCATCTCCAGGTGTACCAGCATCCCTTATCACAAGGAGCAGTGCGTGAGGGAAGATGACGTAACAACGCATTTGCAGGCCAGTTGCAGCCTCCCTCTCCCTTCCTTGGACCTCTCCCTCCCTTGCTTAAGGGAATGAAATTGAGCATTACCTTCTGGTGCCAGGATCTGGATATTTTGTTCACTCCTGGGGTAGGGTACAGGGTATGCCCTAGGCCTTAAGGAAGTTTGGAAGCCACTTAACACCAAAGGAAAAAAAAAATCTAACTTTTAAAGCTCCATTTGCAGTGCTGATTACAGTGTGGAGAGTGCATGGCACTAGCAGGTGCCAACCTGGCTAGTCCTGGGTCACGGAAGCCTCAGCCTGGCCTGCGACACTGAGTGAGGAATCCGAGGCTGGTAAGTACAGCTGCCTGATGCGTTTCTTTCTCTGACAGCTCAACATCCTGGTGGACACAGGCAGCAGTAACTTTGCAGTTGGGGCCGCCCCCCACCCTTTCCTGCATCGCTACTATCAAAGGCAGCGGTGAGTCCTAGGAGGGCCAGGGCAGAGCCAGTCCAAGGAGAGCTGGGAGAGGCACAGGAGAAAGGCCTGGTCCTCAGATCCTTTCTCCCATGGGGAAAGGAGGGGGTGGCCAAGAGAGGAGGGTAAAGATCGGGTGTTTGAGAGCCATACCATGGGAAAAGGTGAACTGAAATATAGCTTCCATGAAAGGGATGAAGCTTTGTGGCTCCCAGAGCCACCTCCACAGCTCACATTCTACCTAAACAGGAGGTGAGGGGACTCACGTCTTCAGTGGCTTGCTGTTTTCTAATAGCAGTTATGGGTAGGCCAAACACTGTGGCCTTAGCTCTTTTGCTATCTCGCCACTCTGGGGCCTCTCCAGGTGGCTTTGCATGGTTCAAGAACACAAGGGAAAAAACCTTGCACAACTTGCACTACTTGGACCCATATCAGGGTCTGAAAGCCCAATACTGTCCTCCCTGCATCAGCCCAAGTGCCACCAGCTGGGTTTAGCTCATTGGTGAAAGGGAGAGTTAGAATGGGCTTCTGGGTGAGAGAGGCAGCGAGGGAAGATCAGGAAACTCTCTTGGCATAAAAGCGGGATGAAGTGGTGAGAAGATATCTAATACCTGAGTCATCTGTGCCTGTGAGTAGTTGTGTCCTAGCCTCTGACAGCTAGGCAGGCCCAATCCCCACCCCCTTAACAGACAGTGGAGTGTGGGGAGGATCAATTGAAGAGCACTCATTCCGAGTTCTATCATGACTCCCCTCAAACATTGGTTAGGGGATGTTTAAACAGAAGTGGGGACAGCAACACCTCAATTGAATGTGCTTTGCCAAGCGGTGTGCAAAACCTCCTGCTCTGCCGAGATGCTTGTGCCAAGCTCCTCTCGGGAAACCCCTGCTGCAGTGCTTCCACCTTCACTCTGCCTGGAAGCTTCTCCACCACTCAGATGGTACCACCAGGTCCCTAGGCAGAGTCAATGGCTCCTTTTCTCTGGGAGCTTGCTGGCACCACGAGGAGAAAGCGAGGCTGGCTAACTGTGCCCACAGAAGCAGCTAGCACAATGCACAAAGCCTAGCTTGTTCTACGTAGGCCTGAGCTCCAGATCTAGGAATGTGGGCTCTGGAGACGGGTGAGTGAGCCCCGGTAATAGCTCCCCTCGTCTGTTTGTGAGATGCCATGACATTGTGTTCTGGGCAGTGGGTCTCAGGGACATGGCGCAGAGTAGGCTGAAAGCAACTTTCAGGATGTCCGTGAGCCAGGCGGCTTTTGGGAGTGTGTTTGACGCTGCGTCTCCATAGCAGGTGTGGCATTTATGCATCCAGCTCTCTGTCTCCACAGATCAAGCACATACCGGGACCTCCGGAAGGGCGTGTATGTGCCCTACACCCAGGGCAAGTGGGAGGGGGAGCTGGGCACTGACCTGGTGAGCATTCCTCATGGTCCCAACGTCACCGTGCGTGCGAACATCGCTGCCATCACTGAATCCGACAAGTTCTTCATCAATGGCTCCAACTGGGAGGGCATCCTGGGGCTGGCCTATGCTGAGATCGCCAGGGTGAGAGGAATAAGGCTTGTCCTATAGACTATGTCTGTGCTTTGTACACACCACATGCTACACAGGGAAGGAGTTAAGGGAAAGAAGGGTGGCTGAGGGGAACACGTTGGTTTGAAGGGTCATTTACAGGGACAGGGTGGCAGTTGAACTTTAGTGCTACACAATGCAGAACCAGTAAGAGCAGCTATGGTTTCTGTGTACCCTAAGATCTTTTGATTTGCTTATTTCGAGACAGGGTTATCACTACGTAGTTGAGTCTGGCCTTGAACTCACTATGTAGCCCAGGCTGGCCTCTTAACTCAGCCATCCTCCTGCCTCAGTCTCCTGAATGCTAGGATTACAGGCGTGTGTTCTATACCGGGCTTAATTTGTGTGTATATACCCTAAAATCTTTTTTCTTGATACTGGAAAATCTAACTCGGGACCTTGTGCTTGGCAGGCAGGCAGGCACTTGGGCCACTGAGCTATATCCCTGCACCCCCCAAAAAAAATCTTTGAGAGGCTCATCTAAACTTGAAGCAGGCTGGGGAAGATCCCATGGCTTTGTGGGCCATCCTTCCCATTTTTGCACCTAGTAACTCAAGATGGTGATTCCCAAGGAACACTCCCAAGTTTTTGCTTTTTCTTCCACTGTAGGCAGGAAGCTAGCCTCTGTCCAGCAGGCACAGATTTACTTTGTCTCTTTCTACCACAGCCTGATGACTCGCTGGAGCCCTTCTTTGACTCTTTGGTGAAGCAGACACACGTTCCAAATCTCTTCTCCCTGCAGCTCTGTGGTGCAGGCTTCCCCCTCAACCAGTCTGAGGCCGTGGCTTCTGTTGGAGGGAGCATGGTAAGCAAGGCCTCGAAGGCAGAGACCTGGCAGTAGGAGAGGGATGCACCTACACAACAGAGCAACAGCATGGTCTTGGCCCTGCTACTTCAAATCAAGAGAAGCCTCTATATTCCCCATCCCTACTTTTCTTCTCCCCTCTGCTCTGCCTCACCTTATTCCTTAACAGGACTCAAGGGTCTATGGTAAACCTGCAAAGCATCAGAAATGAACAGGAAGCACGTCAAAGGAAATGAAAATAAGACCTACTGGTAGTCAGGAGGCAGAGATTTTAAGAGTTTGCGTCTATTTATTCATTAATTAGGACAATGGTGAATGGTTCTCTAACAGAGAAAATAAGCATAGAAGCAATAATCAATTTACTCAACATTTATTTGCCAGTTTAGGTTTAAATAACTTTGTATCAAGGGCTATGTAATTCTGAAACAAATAATTAAGATTCTATCTAGTCTTTTCTCCTGAACGCATAGAGACAATACATCACTTTGGGACGTGACTTATTCTAGAAGCAGGAAAATGAAAACAGCTGTATGTAGAGCGCCTTGCTACCCCAAGACAGACTGATCTTACTGCTTGTCTTTGTGACTTGCTTTTCTGTGCCAGCACATGGATGTCTGTCTCCTTCTCTCTTAGATCATTGGGGGCATCGACCACTCACTATATACAGGCAGCCTCTGGTATACACCCATCCGGCGGGAGTGGTATTATGAAGTGATCATTGTGCGGGTGGAGATCAATGGACAAGACCTGAAGATGGACTGCAAGGAGGTAATAAAACCAAGGGGGGGCCACGAGAGAAAAGGGGTAGGTGCCAGCTACTGGGAAAGCCTCACATCATGAGGTTGCGAGGGTGGGGCAAAGGTATAGCACACACTGCACAGAGGGTGGGGGCTGGGCCTAGAGGTCAGCGTCATGGTCACAGAGCAGGACCTGAGGTTGGGAGCCAGGACTGGCAAAGCACTTTCATAGGGGCCATGGGCTTACAAAAAAAATAGCCAAAACGCATCGAACTGTTGGGCGCTAGTCACTGCCTAGCCTCATGGACTTGGGCAAGCTGTCTGCAAGGCAGTGTGGTAGGACTCCTTCAGGAGTCACGCCTTAGAGCCCGAGCTGTGAAGCTAGCTCTGCCATTTACAAGCTGCGTGCCCTTGGGCTTGTTATTCTGTGTGCCAGTCTCCTCCCCTGCAAACAGAGGTTAAAACAAATTTCCCAAACATTGTAGAAAAGGTCAGAGAGAGCACACAGTGTTTATCCCTGTGGATGGCAGTGCCCAACAAATACTAGCTAAACCATTTGGGCCTCCTCCACTAGGTTGCTGCGTATGCTAAGTCAGAAGAGATCTAAAAGTGCTATGCAAGTTAAAAGCACTATACCAGGTACTTTTTATTTTAAGATTTAGGAAATGTCTGCCCATCCAAGATAGTAAGAGCTAACATTTGCTAAAGTGCCTCTTGTCTGCAACACAACATTCTAAGCGTTAATTCAATGTATTAGTTTATTTAATCCTTACAATGACTTCTGAGGTAGGTACTATTATATCATTTCAGAGACAAGCAAACTGAGGCACAGAGGTTAAATAACTTGACCAAGGAGGTACCCACAAGGTGGCAAAGCCAAGATGCCAACCTGGCAGTACCCCAAGCAGTCAAACCACCCTTCTATCTCTGCCCATAACCTGGCTTCAAAAAAGCTCTTCTAACCCTACCCTTTCTTTTCCTTCCTAGTACAACTATGACAAGAGCATCGTGGACAGTGGCACCACCAACCTTCGTCTTCCCAAGAAAGTGTTTGAGGCTGCAGTCAAATCCATCAAGGCAGCCTCCTCGGTCAGTGCACTAAGGATAGGGTACAAGAGATGACATGGTATCACAAGAAGTTAGTGACAGATCTCTCAGCAAGAGTCAAGATGATGACATTTAGATCCTTCTATTTAAGTTATTTATTTATTTATCATTTTGAAAGACCTTTTTTTGGGGGAGGTGCTGGCAGAACCGGGGAATGAACTTAGGCCCTTCTGTGCTTACCAGGCAAGCACTTATTCTACTGAGCCATATCCCTAGCCTATTTATCGTTTTAAGACAAGGTCTCACTATGCATTTCAGGCTGGACTTGAGCTCACTTTGTAGTCCAGGCTGGTCTCGAACTTCCACCTGTAGGAATGATGCTCCTGCCTCAGCTTCCCAAGTGCTGGGATTACAGATGTGTGCCACCATACCTGGCTACTCTTAAGTAGCCTCCTGTATGGGACTCGGTTTACTCATAAGACAATGCTTCTGGTACAAAATTTTGCCCTCAGTCTTCTATTCCCAATCCCTAAATCCCTGGTTGTAGTTTACCTTCCCCTGCTTTGAATGTTTCCCTCAGAGAAGCTAATAAAGGGCCTAGTCATGTTATGCAACAGAAGAACAAGATGACAGAGCTTGATTCCTCATTGTTATCTTTTTCCTGTCAACACAGACAGAGAAGTTCCCGGACGGCTTCTGGCTAGGGGAGCAGCTGGTGTGCTGGCAAGCAGGCACCACGCCTTGGAACATTTTCCCAGTCATCTCACTCTACCTCATGGGTGAGGTCACCAATCAGTCCTTCCGCATCACCATCCTTCCACAGGTATGTCCCTAAGCTGAAGCAGTGGGATCCCAGGAAGAGGACAAAATATGAATTAAAAAACAGTGAGCAGGCATGGCTTCCCATATCTTGGAAGACAAAGATGAGTGCCTAGTGCGAAAGGGGTCTTGGGAAGCCCAACCTCTTGGGGTTCAGGGGTGGCAATGGGAAGAGTTACTGCAGTGCAGCTATACCTAGAGGACAGAGATGAGGTGGAGCACGGAGCAAGGGAGACGCCCTGTCAATACCTGCAACTGTTTACCCTTAGCAATACCTGCGGCCTGTGGAAGACGTGGCCACATCCCAAGATGACTGTTACAAGTTTGCCATCTCGCAGTCATCTACTGGCACAGTTATGGGGGCTGTTATCATGGAAGGCTTCTACGTCGTCTTTGATCGGGCCCGAAAACGAATTGGCTTTGCTGTCAGCGCCTGCCACGGTAAGACTACGGAGATGGGGTACGGTTCAGCAGTCAGAGTACCTAGGCCTGTCCACTTGCAAGGCAGTAACGGTGGCCTCAAGCTAAATCAGCACAGGGTGCCAAAGCTGATGTCAGTGCTAGCCATTTTTGTATTTAGTACAGGGTTTACAGGGTCTCACTACACAGATCAGACTCGTGATCCTCCTGTTTTCAGCCTCCCAAGTGCTGGGATTACAGTCATGCACCACCATACCCAGTCTCAATCACATCTCAGTGTGCCCCAGGGGCAGGGCCAGCACGGCATGGCAGGGTTCAACTCCTGGTCCCTGCATCTGCCTAAGCAGGTGCTTTAATCCACTGAGCTATCTGGCTGGCCCAGTGCTCATCCTTTATCATAAAAAAAAAAAAAGAAAACTGATTAATTTTTGGTATTGCCTGCCCTGCCTGGACTCAAAAGCTCTGTGGGAAACCCACTACAGCAAGAGGTGCCCTGGGCCCTGTGGGAAGCTCTGGATAGAAGGGTAGTGGGCTGACCCTTCATATAGCCGATCAGATGCATTATTGTAGGGTGAATGCTGCTACAGAAAGACAACGGGTTTTATTCCCACTGGATATGTAAACAGGGAGGGTGCTATTCTAGGGCTGTAAGAGGACAGACAGGCCTCTGCCCAGTGCTGGCTTTCCTGCCTGCTCCTAAGTATCCCCACAAGGAGGGCTAAACAACTTCTACAGAGACTGAGTTCAAGGTGTCATTATCTGGAATTTTTTTTTTGTTCTATAACTCAAGCTGCTCTGGGACAACCTAGAGCTACCCATTCACATCTGCCCTTTCCGCAGTGCATGATGAGTTCAGGACAGCAGCAGTGGAAGGCCCTTTTGTCACCCCGGACATGGAAGACTGTGGCTACAACATTCCACAGACAGATGAATCAACCCTCATGACCATAGCCTATGTCATGGCTGCCATCTGCGCCCTCTTCATGTTGCCACTCTGCCTTATGGTATGTCAGTGGCGCTGCCTCCGCTGCCTCCGCCATCAACACGATGACTTTGCTGATGACATCTCCCTGCTGAAGTGAAGAGGACCATGGGTGGAAGACAGAGATTCCTCTGGACCACATCTGGGTGGTTCCCTTTGGTCCCAAGTTGGAGACACAGATGGTACCTGAAGCCAGAGCACCTCAGGACCCTTACCCACCCACCAATGCCTCTGCCTTGACAGAAAAGAAGGAAAAGCCGACAAGGTGGGTCACAGGGATTGCACCTGTAGGAAACAGGAGAGGGAAGAAAGAAGCACTCTGGTGGCAAGAATACTCTTGGTCACCTCAAACTTGAGCTGGGAGATTCTGCTTGAACCTTCAGCCCTGAATCTCTGCCCACCATCCATTTAAATTCTCTAACCCAAAGTATGCTTTCCTCACTTTCAGAAGCTCTGGCCATCACACCCAGGCTACCCCAGCGTGTCTCTGCAGTACCCTGGCAAAGAGCCAACCTCGTGTCCCTGCTGGCCCAAGTCAGCAGGAGAAGATACATAATTTTATATTTGCTTTAGAGGCAGGGACTAGGGTGAGCAAGCCTAACACTGGTGCAAAGACTGCCTCTTGAGTTAAACAAAACAATTAGAATATTTCTGTACATGGGGCAGTTAAAGACAGGGAATGGGTATTAAAGTTAGAAAAAACATAAATGGCCACTCCCCAGTCCCAGGGTGAGACCTCATCTCCAACGCAAAACCCCATCTTACAAGATGGGTGTCATTTCTCAGTGTTTCTGTGGTTACAGGTTGACCCAAAGTGAGACAGGAAGAAAGGCTTAGCTAGCCTTAGAGCTCATTTTAAAGCTCTTTTAAATGGAAGGTGCCCATGAAGATGTTCCACGTAACAAATGAATTTCTATCTTATTAATTCCATTTGGCTCTACTTGAACCCTTTCTTCTACATAGGACAGGTGCCACTGAAACACCCCAACCCTGAAAGCACTCCTATGGGAGGGCAACTGGAATATAGCAGGGCTGGGCACCATCTCCTTGGTCACATGGTCACTCCTTCCCCCAGAGCCCCCTTGCTCTGGAGCTTTGCAGCCAAGGTGCTAAAAGGAACAGAGACGAGACCTGTCCTACCTAACCCCTGAAAGCAGGTATAGGGTTGATGCCTTATACCTTTGTCTAGATTTCTTCCTGTTCTTCTCTAAGAAGTGGTAAGACTTTATGTAATACTGAGTGCTTTCATTGCTTTCTTGCCCTCTCTAATGGCTCCTCCACTTATTTGACTAAGGCATCACACACTGGCTAGTATTATACCAAGAATGTCAGAAACACAGGGCTTTCTGGCTCTGAGTCATTGCCTTCCGTATGAAGGCTACCTGGAGAAAGGATGGCAGCCTCAGGGCTTCCTTATTTCCTTCTCACTTTCCTTGTTGGAGGCTGTCCCCTTCTCCCATCCTCTTCTCTGTGCCCTACTCCCAGTGTACATGGGTACCCAGGCTGGTTCTTGGGGTAGGTAGTGGGGGTCATGTTCATTTCCTCTCTATCAGTTCTACACAGTAGACTGTGATACTACTGTTAGTGGGAAGAGCTGAGTATTCGCAGTTTACCTGCTGTACCCTAATCCTATCTGGTCTACACGCTAGTCCAGGTGGGGACCTGGCAAGTGTGGAATTGCCTGATGCAGAAGGAAATACAAGGAGGGCCTCTGGAGTTGCTGGCCTTCGCCAGCTACCCACAAGCCATAAACCAATAAAACAAGAATATTAAGTTACATCTTTTTATCTGGGTTCTCTTCATTCCCACTGTACTTGGTGCTGCTTTGGCTGACTGGGAACACCCAACACCTACAAAGGCTGACAGCAAGAATGAAGACTGCCCACTTCCAACTCACAACTTACAGTGTAAATAGATTTCCAGAATTGATTCCATGAAATGAAAATACCACATTCTGCTTTATAATTTCTACCCATGTTGGGGAAAACTGGCTTTTCCTCACCCTTTTCCAAGGTATAAAACTCAACCCATTCATTAGTCAGTCTCATGTTGGATTTATTTTTCTTTTTAAAGTTCATTTCTGTTCTATCCTGAAACTATAAACTCTAAGTGGGAAAAAAAAAAACAAAAAAAAAAAAAAAAAAAAAAAACAAAACTTGATGACAGCTTCTTGCTTGTAAAAATATGTATTATACAGCTCTTTTTTAAAATTTTACTTCTGAAATGTGACTGTCCCATCTCCACACACTGCAGCAGTGGCCCTTGCTTCTGGTCTGTGTGGCTTGTACCACTGTAGGCCAGGCAGAGGGAGAAGGGAGAGCAGGGCTGGCCACAGCAAATATTGCCTCTGACTGATCCTGAACAAGGAAAAGAACAGTGAGGAGGCCCCAGCTCCCATGCACAGCTCTGCAGGACACTTAGCTCTGGCTCTGGTTAGCTTTTCAGGAGCTTTCACCAGGAAGCAGATAAACTCCCTCTTCCCTTTTTCTCTGCTCCTTTGGCTTCAAAGACTTGGAAAATAATATATACATAACTTTTCCCCTTCAGGCAACTTAAAATTTCAATAACCTGCTTCTGGATAGAGCAGGACAGAGCCTCAAATTGAAGAAACAATATTCTTTATACCCGTTCCAATTTCTTTCTTTTTTTTTTTTTTTTGCTCCGAATGCCTTCAAGGCATGACTGGCTGTCTTGTGTTGTGGAGATCAAACCACAGCAACCTGAGCCTGACTGCTTTGTTGAAGCAGCCACTTAAAGAACTGAGCTAAGGGGCAGGCCCCCCCTTCCAATTTCTAAATTTTGGGGGACACTGAAAGATATCATAGGGAGCCTAGCACAACTGAAAAACTGAAGGAAGAAAAAAATCTTAAGATTGCTGGATATAGCAGCACGTGCCTAAATCCCAGCATTCAGGAGGCTGAGGCAGGAGGACCATGAGTCAAGGCCAACCTAAGCTCATAGGGAGTTCAAGAGTGGCCTACACTACTTAACAAGACCCTGTCTCAAAAAACAAAACAAAACAAAAAAGCAAACAAACATTACAAGATAAATAATCTCTTAAGTGAAAAGGACAAAGAAACTGGTCTCCTATTTGGCCACCTTTCCTGTTCATGGCAGTACCAAACTGGAGACTAATATTTTGCTGACCAAAGAAAGTAGGCCATTTGACCTCTAAAGAGTTGAGTACCCAGGCCTCTCCAACCATTCTACAAGATGCCAAGGAGATCCTGGGGAATCTAGCTACTTAAATTGATGGTGGGTCAATAAATCTGGGCAAGTAAGGCAAAAGAAAAGCAAAGTATTCATTAATGAGCTAATGGGTAAGGACAAAAGACAAAGAAAAGGATTAACAAAAACAGAGAGGAGAGGGTTTAGTATCTGAATGGAAAAGTCTTTGCTACCCTGATATGGATTGCCAGATCAATAACCATTTCCAATACCAGAATGGGAAAAATTCAGTTGCTAGTAATATAATGATGTCTTTCCTCTAGAGTGAATTTTTTTAGTTTAATTTCAAAACAGAAGGAAGCTAAAGCCATTACTTGTAGGAGGAAAGATAAAGGGATAGGAAAAAAAGTCAAAGGTCAGATAAGAGTCACAGCCTTTTCATGTATAAAACCTAAAAGCCAGAAGTGCTCAATTAGCAGAGATGGAAAACAATCTAGTTTCAGATAGCTGTCCACAGAACAAATGATTTAAAACCCTGAAATCCCACCTCCCTTTTTCATACCACTTTGGTCTCCATTTTTCCCAGGGAAAGAAACATGTCTGCATAGCTTTCTTGCTTCAAAATCAAAACCCAGCACCCCAAGGTCCTTCTGCAAGTAATTTTGCACAGACATCGCTTCACCCCAGTGCCTGTCTGGAACTCACCCAAGGTCACCAAACAACTTGGCTGTAAACCAACTGCCTTAACCTTCAGGGGGTGGGGAGTGAGCTAGACTAGGAGACCAGAATGAATAGGACAAGAGGAAGACTTCACAAGGCTGACGTGTTACAGCTTGATTAGAAGTCAAGCCAGTGGTAGCAAGGGATGATCTGGCCCAGGGCAAACTGTGGTTTATGCTCATTTCTATCCAGGAAGTAGAGCAGACAGAAACTTGTAGGGAAATGGGACCTGGTTATGTTGTCATTCTTGGACTATGAAATTTTACTGATGTTAAACAAAATACTCTGTACCCCTAATGTCTATGTATAATTAACATTAACAGTAAAATATTCAATGAAAAGTCAAATTATTAGGATTACATTTTTTTTCCTCAGAGTCTCATTTTACCCATTTGAAGTGGAGTGGCTAGAACAACACTGAGAGTTCTGGAGGCTCTTGGGAAGCCAGGCAGCTAACTGGACAGCAGCTAAGCACCAGGCTTCAAGTCAGCACACACGAGCCTTAGAAAATCGTTAGCGGCTGAGCCAAACCAAGCAGGATGGCCTTGGAGCAACAGCAACTTCCTAGATGTATCTGAAGACAGCCCTAGGCAGGGACATCATACTTTCAAGACCAAACTAAATAGTATCTTCCCTACAATCTGCATCTCTCAAAAAAACTACAAGATAAGGGGGGAGGGGACAGAGTGTTTCTGCATTATATACATACTTTCATTTACGAACATTTCAATACAGACTTTCTATACACACATTACCTATATAATAAAAATGTACATGGCATGAGTATATGTCACTGTATAAATATAGAGTTTTAGAAATCTTGAACCCGCACTTCCTGTTCACATCAGTTTCTCCTCTTCTTCCTCCCCAGTCAGGTCCGTCATTTAAGAGTTGGACAAAAGGGACAAGTGTCATTTGTGTTGGTCTGGGCCCAGAATTTGATACACTGGAAAGAAAGAAAGACACACCTGAGGTTTTTCTGAGTAGAAAAAGTGAAGGAAGGAAAGAATGCCATTTAGGTTTGCAAGGACTGAGCCTGAAAAGTTCTCACTGTGAGCGACCAAATAGGCCATATTTCACTGGCTCTTACTCAAAGGAATCTTCAGCAGGTGAACCTGTCAATTTTACTAGGACCAGAAACAACCAGCTAAAGTAATCAGGGGACTCACAAAGCTGCTTTTTGTTGGGTAGCAAATGCGACTTGTTCCTTATGATCCATTTGACCTGAAATGAGTTTCCGTCTCATACTCATCACCTTCAAATCTTACTCAAGACTTTTTCTTATTTAAAATAAAAGTTATCAATTCAGTTTCTACCTCATAGGAAAACCAAATGAACAAAACCAAACAGCTATGAAAGAACCCTACTGCTGAGAGACTTAGCTCTGCCCGGCAACAAAAGAACAGGAATGCCTTGTGAGTGCCTGGAGACCACCTTTCCTAGGTAGTGCTTCAGGCTAGTCTGTTAGTGCAGTTACTAATCTCACATTCAGGCTCCCTATTCTATTTCTCTCATCTAAGCAAAGTCCCTTGACAATGCTACATTTGAAAAAAATGGTTGAAGTAAAGTATCACCTCTTACTGGGTATTTTCTAAGACAGTGACTTGTAATGCCCCAGTATGAGTGGCTTACCCAGTACTTTAAAAGGAAGGGGATAAAAAGAAGCAGGGAGATCCACACTGCAGTATTCTGAATTCTGCTGCTTTACTGAAAACCTTATGGTCAGATATTAGTGATAAGCATCAACCTAATAAAATATTCAAGGATAATGCCCTCTGCCATAAAGAGGAGCAGAAAATGAGGAAGGCGTTTAGTACCCACCTCCTTGTGCAACACGTGAGAACAAGCCATTGGGTGGAGCTCACTGGGCTGGACAAGTTTCTGGCACATAAGACACAGCTTACAAGTGGCTGGGGCCTGCAGAACAGAAAAGGCACAGCACATGCTAAGGAACCTCTGCGTCCCCTTGCCTCTTCTGCCCATGACCCTTCTATTATTTCCATGCAGCACAACGATTTTACACCAAAATAAATAAAAGACTGAAGACAGATTCTTGCCTAACGTACATGCCTATTCCCATTAAGGTTGCAAACAACCCTGTGACAAAATGATGGTTTCCTCATTGATGTCATCTACAAACCCACTATCTGCACACTTTCAGTTTCCCCAAGTCCCAGTATTAAGAGAAAAAGAATCTTACATGTGAGGACCTTCCAGGATACGAAACTTGGGCAGACGGCAAGAACATTGGGGTACTGATCTGGGCCAATGGAGCAGGGTACAAGGCCCGGATCCGACCAAGTGGCTGTGGGCAGAAAAAATTGCAGAGTATGGGAAAAGAGGATAACACAGCATGTACCAAAACAACAACAACAAGGGCCGGAGAGATGGCTCAGTGGAATAAGCGCTTCCCTGGCAAGCGCAAGGGCCTGAGTTCAATCCATGAAACCTCCCCTATTTCAAACCATAGTTCCGCAAAAAAAAAAAAAATCATTAACTTCTCAGTACAGCAAATTAAAAAAAAAAAAGCAGACTGCATATCTGTGATTATAATGTGTCTTCTTACCCCAATTTTTCTGAAGTCTGTCTCTTATTCTACCCATCAGTAAGCCTAAATCCTTTCCACTCTTCTTACCTGAGTGCTTGCTGCCACCCGCTCATGCTCTGCCAGTCGTGCAGCCACCAACTGGATCAGCTCCTCCATGGTCAGGCCTGCCATGGTGGTACGTGCTATCTTGATTTGCTGAAGAATATTGGTCATCTGGGCCCTAAGAAAGAAAAGTGATAATAAAGGGACATTCTATGTTATAACCTTGGGGGAACCATGAAACCTCCCCTATTTCAAACCACAAGCATTGCTCTGAGAAAGATGTTTTAATTGATCCTGAAAGATACCTACTTATTGCACTGTGGGAACCGAGTCAGCAGCTTCTCCAGGATCTTCTCCAGTTTGTCTACTGGTTGGGGCCGGGGAGTTTCAGAAGAAGCCTTAATACCACCCAAGCCTGGGGGAGGCGGGATGGAGGCAGCAGGGGACATGTGTGGACTATGGGGGCCAACAAGGGAACCCAAGCCAGGGCTATTTCTCCCATGGGAGCCAGGAAGGGGTGGGGAAGGCTGGCTGGACTGAGAAAGGGCAGGGTTCAGGATTGGGAAAGACAAGGAACGGGGATCTGCACTGGGCATAACCATGGGCATTGTGACCTGCCCAATGGAGAAGGGCATCCGAGGAGCCAGGGAGGGACTGGGCTGAAACACCTGAAGCATGAAGTCTGTCTGCAGAGGGTAAGTATAGAGGACAAGAGAGAAAGGAAGACAATTTAGAAAACTGAAGCAGACATCAATTAGCATCTTGCCTTAAATAGGGGTGGTCCTAACATCTTCATAAAAAGGACAAGTGCAAGATTCTGACTATGTCACAATAAGAATGGGTTGATTTCCCCAAACCCAGCTCTTACCTCTGAGGGGGGTGGAGGCAAAGTGGGGGTAGGGATTTGAGGAAGGCTGCTCAGCTTGGCTCCATTCCTCACGAGCTGGATGTGACTATTAAATTGGTCCTAGAAAAAAAGGAAAAACAGGATAATCTTCTACTGCTAGTTAAGTGAGCCTCTGGAGAAAGTACATCATCCACTTTCAGGAAAATACAGTAGTGGGATAAACCTTAAGGACAAACACAAAAAGGCATCTCCCTCTGCCACAAGTGTCAAACACAACTGAATGCGCGCACCTACTATGATACAAGGCTTACCCGGACGTTCTTTTTCATTATCCGAACTCCATTCAGTCTAGTCTCCCACTCTTGTTTGGAACGAACGGTCTCCAATGTTGGAGGGGTAGACCTTTCAAGAAACCAACAAGAATTTACAAAATTAAAGAAAGCCCAGGGCTGGCAAGATAGTTCTGCAGTCTAAAGCACCTGCTTAGGCAAGCTTAGGCAGGCGCAGGGAACTGAGGCTCAATCCCTGGCACATGCTGCACCAGCCCCGCCTTCATGGTGGGCTGATCTGGTCAGAAAGTAAATAAAATAAAATAAAGCCCAATTCCTAACTCTCTAAGATAGTGAAACAGTAGCTCAGTGGTAGGTCTTGAGCAGACTTGGAGAAGCTCAAGTCTGTCACCTCACTTTAACTCTTATCTTTTAAACTAAGTATCTGAGGATGAGAGTATTTTTGCCTGTCTGAAAAATGTTACAGTCCTCCAAATTCCATGTCAAGAAGTACAAAAATATAAAACCATACAAGAGAAAGGAATGAGGAATGTTACAATGCAGAAAAATCACTGAGCAATTACTACTACACAAACACAACCTTAAAATTCCTATAGGAAGGCCAGGGATATAGCTCAGGGGCATAAACACTTGCCTGGCAAGCCAAGGTTCCAAGTTCAATTCCTAGTACCAAAAACACAAAATTCCTACAGGAGTTTAGCTCAGTGGTACAGTGCCTACCTGGCAGATGTGAGGTCCTGAGTTTGATTCTCAATACCCACCCACCCCCCAAAAAACAAATTCCTACGAAGACACAATAAGTGCTAGAGGTGCTGGCCTAGTGTTTCAAAAACCTAAAACATACAAGAAAACTACTGGGTCACTACAACTTTTTTTTTTTTTTTTTTTTTTTTGAGACAGGGTCTTACTATGTAGTTCAGATTGGCCTTGAACTCACTATGTAGCCCACAGTGGTCTCAAACATGTGGTGATCCTCCTGCCTCGGTCTCTTGAGTTCCAGTATTACAGGTATATGCCACCATTCCTTGCGTAAATCTTTTTTTCAAACTTGGGATCAAACCTAGTGCCTTCACACTGAACTATACTTCCTGCCCTTTTAATTTTTTTTTAGTTTTCTATTAGTATATGTTTGTGATACATAATAATTACATTTATCTTGAAGAATTGGTACATATACCCATGTCACTAGGTCTTAAAATGGCCAGGAACTTACTTGAGGTAAGTAAGGTGCAGTTCTGCTTCTTTTTCTGCTTCTTCTAGTTTCAACACTAGCAACTCCTTCCGGCTCTCTAGTGATAAGATCTATGGAAATGGCACATGCACACACAAATACCTTATTAATTTCCACAGACAGCGCTACCTCTAGACAGTTACGATGAACGCTCACAGCTGTTCTAACAGCACAAGTCCGCACCCTCTAGAAGCCTCGAGCAAGCTTTCAAGGTGCTACCTCCCCTCACCTCTGCCTTCCAGGCGCGCTCTGTCTCTTCCATAATGTTCCGATTTATTTCACCATCCTGATTCTTGAGTCTATCCAGTTCCATTTCCCACACTTCTCTGTAAGATTAAAAAAATAAATAAATAATAAACAAGAACAAGACAAAGGGAAGAGAGATAAGCCTCTAAAAAACACCAAGACAGTCTCTTCTGCTTCAGTCCGCCATCGAGTGCGTGCTCTCGCCTCCTACCCGCACCATGTCTTCTCACAAGACTTTCAGAATCAAACGATTCCTGACCAAGAAGCAACAGCAGAATCGCCCCGTTCCTCAGTGGATTCGTATGAAGACAGGTAATAAAATCAGGTACAACTCCAAGAGGAGACACTGGAGGAGGACCAAGCTAGGACTGTGAGGAGTTGCACATGAGCTGCGACCCATTTACCCTCTGGGAGGTCACAAGACGATGTCATCTTTTAATCATGGTCAAGACAATACTGAATAAAGTTTTAAAAATAAAAAAAATAAAAATAAACACCAAGACAAAAGGAAAACTCAAAAACGATCTGCCAGGTATACTACAGAACATCTCACTCAGTATTCACTACAGACATAGATAACCTACTGCAGTGTGGGCTGCAATTCCGTAAAAGCCCTGTACTTTAAGAGAAGCATGTCCACATCCTCACTTGCTAAAGTACTGTTACCTGGAGAAGGCAAGAGAGTGCCTTTTAGAACCAAAACCCTTGGGCCAGGGAGATAGCTCAATAGAATAAGTGCTTGCCTGGCAAGCGCAAGGACTTGAGTTCAATCCCTGGTTCTCTGCAGGGAAAAAAAAAAAAAAAGAAACCAAACCCACAAATGGAGGTGGAATATTCTATGTTCAGGGAGGCTTAAAATCTTTGTGGCATTCCTTTTTCCCCACTTGGTCTTTTAGTATGAGTACTGAAGAATACACATGCAAACAGTGAACCACTTACTATCCACCTCTAATGCAGCAATCAAGCACACACATACTAGCTTACTGATTTCCATAATTTGTTTAGCTACAGTAAATACTCTGCAAAACGAAAAAATACATATTCTTTCTACCGCAAGATGTCTTGTTTTCTTCAGTTTACTCCTTTCTTACACACTCCCTGCCTCAATTCCCTTTCTTACAGTATAATCTTCACACTCTGAATAAAGATGACCAACTGGCCAGCCAGATGTGGTGGCACACACCTGTAATCCCAACAGTCAGGAGGCTGAGGCAGGAGGATCGCTGAGTTTGAGACCAGTCTGGACTACAAAGTGAGCTCCAGGCCAACCTGAACTGCACAGCAAGACCCTGTCTCAAAAAGACAAAAATAAAATAAAGTCTAAAATAGTGGCAATAAAGATGACCAACTGTTCCAGTGTGCCTAGTATTAGTTACTAGTTCTTGGAGTATGGGATTTGCTATGTTAAAACAGGGACAGCTGATTTGTATACTCAAGACTGAAGGAGCCATTCTGGATCAGGGCCAGCAAATTATAGTAAGCTTTATAGCTCAAAGAAGTGATTATCCACATCAGTGGGAAGAATGGTATGAAAATGTTAAACTTATTTTGTACCAGATTTTAAAAAGACAAAAAAAAAAAAAAAAAAAGAAGAAGAAGAAGAAGGAATAGCTTGAGAAGAGTTACATCTAAAAGTCTCCTTTTCTCTTTAGTGAAACATTTTTATTCCCCTCAAGTTTCAACATGTTGAAGAAGGGGCCGAGGAAATAGCTCAGTAGGATAAACGCTTGACTGGCAAACGCAAGGATCTGAGTTCAATCCCCGGTTGCACCAAAAAAGATGTAGAAGAAGTCAGAATCATCTTGGTGTAAGGATATGCAATATCCAGCCCACAGCCCATCAACAGTCTACCTACCTTATTACTCACTCCTTGACAATAGGATAATTATAGGAAAGCATGTCAAACAGTTGCATTCTGTGGTTGATGCTATCCTTACAGATTACACATGCTCAATAAGCATCTGACTTTCACACAAATTTATCAACTATACATATTTATATTAAAAATCCTGCCAGGAGTGGTGTCACATACCTGTAATCCTAGTACTTGGGAGGGGTGAGGTAGGCAAACCACTGTGAGTTTGAAATTATAGCACCACATTTCCAAGAATAATGAACCTTTTTCATTTATTTATTTATTTATTTATTTATTTATTTATTTATTACATTTATTTATTGTGTGTGTGTGTGGCCAGCTCAGCCCACCAAGGGGCGGGTCTGGCTGGCATGTGGTGCTGGGGATCGAACCGCGGTCCCTGTGCTTTGCCAAGCTTGTTTCAAGTAGGTGCTTTAGACCACTGAGCCATCTCTCCAGCCCGAACCTTTTTCCAGAAGAAATTTGAATAACAAAATCATACCAAGATACACAAAAATGAAATTGTCCAAAACTAACGTAAAGAAAAAAAAATCATTAAAGCATATATGTAAAAAATATTAGCTATGGAAGAACAATACTAAGTAGTATCTCTAAGGGCCAGGGAGATGGCTCAGTGGAATAAGTGCTTCCCTGGCAAGCGCAAGGACTTGAGTTCAATCCCTGGTTCTGAAAAAACAAATAAATAAATAAATAAACAAATAACATCTTATTCCATGTTAGAAAAAAAAGGGGGGGTGGCCAAATAACTCAGCGGATTAAAGTGCCTGAAAACAGGCACAGGCTCTGGGGGATCGATCTATGCTGACCCAGGGCACGATGAGGTGGCCAATGAGACTGGGCGTGGTGTCACATGTCTCTAATCCCAGCACTTGGGAGGCTGTAAACAGATGGATCACTACCAGTCCCATCTAGTAGTGAGACCCTGAACACCCTGTAAGGGGTCAGGGAGATGGCTCAGTGGAATAAACGCTTCCCTGGCAAGCACAAGGGCCTGAATGCAATCCCGGGTTCCACAAAAAAACCCCAAAAAACACTGAACACCCTGTAGACCCTTCCCTAAAAAAAAAAAAAAAAAAAAAAAAAAAAAGAGCGAGTAAGAAACTAGACTAATTAATGCAAAGGAGTAAAAAACAAAACCTGTCCTTATTGAATTTTATGCTTAGCAAACATACCTTTGAAAACTAAAAGTAAAATATTTTCCAGTTATACAAACTTGAAATATTCTAATACCTCCAGATGAAGCATATGGAAAATAACAAAGAACATAGTCCAGAAGGCAAGAGAAATTGCTGTATGGTCTTGGATAAAGAATAAAAAGTTCTCAAAATGGTAGTTATGCAGGACTATGTAAAATATATTAGATGAACCCATTTAAAAGGTCACTGAAGATTTCTACATAACAGTATCAATCTTTTGTCAGGTTATATACATATTTTTTCATATGTGTGTATGTGTGTGTGCACGTGCATAAAAGACAAAGAAGAAATAATATAAAGTCAATGGAAAATGGAAATATACTTTTTAAAGTTTCTAATACTAGGAGAAAATATCATACCATGTATTATAAGTAGATTGTAAGTCAAAACTATAGTATAAATCTTAAAACAAAAATTAAGATTAAATAATATTCAGAAAATTAAATATTAATTAAAAATGTAATATTTCAAAACACTTCAACTAAGAAAAAGTTTTCATGATAGTAAAGATTTACTAGTAATAAAACATAACATAAATACTAGAATGGCAAATATACGACCAGCACTTCTAACAGTTTGGGGATAGGACAGGATACCACACAAAGTTGTAGTATGCTGTAGACACGACGCTTACTGGTGGCCAGGTGTCACTTGTGGGACTGAACTACTGCTACTTCCTTGATATCCACCATGCAGACTTCGATAGAATCATGTCCCATAGGGTGCAGGAGAAGTCCATTTATAGAGTACACTGATAGAAATATTTTGCTACTATATACAGAAAAAGAATTGAAAGACCACTTTTGTATACCTCTTTTCCTCCTGTGTTTGTCCTAGTTGGTGGGTTCTTTCCATTCTCATTCATGGAGTTGTGGTCATTTTGATCCCTCTCTAGAATCTCTTTTAGCAATCTGTGTAGGGTTGGCTTTGTCATCATGAAATTCTTTAGTTGTTCTTTGTCATGAAAGTATTTCACTTCTCCATTATACTTGAAAGAGATTTTACAGGGTATATTAGTCTGGGTTGGAATTTGGTTTTTCTTTTTGTAAGACTGGTAGTACTTTGCTCCATGCTCTCGACTTGATGGTTTGTGAAGAGAAATCTGCTGTTATTCTGACAGGTTTTCCTTTAAATGTGATCTGTTTCTTTTCTCTAGCGGCTTTCAGTATACTGTTCCGGTGCTGAATTTCTGGGATCTTGATTATTATATGTCTGGGTGTGTTTTTAATTGGGTTGATGTTAATTGGAGTTCTATATGCTTCGGTTACCTGAATGTCAGACAGTTGCCCCATATTTGGGAAGTTTTCTGCTATTACTTCTGTCCGTATTCTTTTTATATCATTTGTACTGGCTCCTTCTCATTGTTCATCTTTGCATCGTATGGCAGATGGTGAATTATTTTTTCCTGTATCCTAGTTGCTGTTATGACACCTTTTCTTACCTGTTCACTAGCTGCAATGGTGTCTTCAAGGTCTGAAAGTCTATTCTCACTTTCATTCAAATGGTTTTTCCAGGTTGTGACTGAGGTTTTAATTTCCCGCATAGCACTTTGACTCTGCTTCATGCATTCTATTTCTTTCTTATATTGCTCATTCAAGGATTCCATCATTTTTCTATTCTCTCTTTTTTTTAATCAGTATCTTCTTTAGAAGCACTTAGTACTACTTTCATTATATTTATCATTTCTTCTTTTATTTCAGAAATTATTTCTAAGGGCTGGCCAAATAGCTCAGCAGATTAAAGTACCTGCAAGCAGGTGCAGGGGCCGAGGGTTCAATCCCTGGGCCTGCTGTGCCAGCACTGCCCCGCAGGGCACAGAGACGGTAACTGAGATGGGGCACGGTGGTGCATGCCGATAATCCCAGCTCTTGCGAGGCTGTAAACAAGCAGATCAGTATGAGTCTGATCTAGTAGT